ATCATATGCAGATCACCCGGAGAGGAAGGCAGTTTTTATCACCATGACTATCATAAGTTATTCATTACAAACGAAAATTTACATACAGCGAAAAATACATAACCATTCTGTCTTTGAGCTTTACTTGAGCTTTACTCAATTTTTGCTCAACTTTTCTTGAAATTATTTGACAATAATATATGTTGCATGTTACGTCGGCATAATAATGAGTCACAAAAAAAATAATAATAATAATCCAGCAACGAGTTGCTTGACTTTCCTGGCAACATTTGAAACTGTGTATGTGGAGCCATCTGTTATATTTTATTTAAAAATTTTTAAATGTTTTTAATTATTATAAAATGGCAAAAAAAGCTTAATTTTGAGGACAGGGATTGGTTTTATAAAAAAAAATTGTAAATGCCGATAACAAACCGTGATTAAGTCCGACCCTATTCGAAATATATACACGAACCTCCTTTATCTCTTCATCCCGTCGATCGTTATCAACCAAAATTTAATAGCTTCAATCCCCCTAATACACAAATCTCCGTGAAAAATTTCAGAAATTTTCTACAAATGGAACAAGAGTTATTAAACTTCAAAGTGGATGAACAAACATGTTTTCCTTACACACATACATTTCCATACATATAGAAAACCCCCAAATGTTTTTGCATTTTTCGACGTTTTAAAGTCCCCTGAATCCAAAAATATAGCCTAAAGATATCGGAATCAAAACAATTTTATAGAAATTTACTCTAAATACATTCTATAACACGAGGGGGGTTCAGCCGTTTTCAGTAAGTAATTAATACTCGAACAGACATAACAGCAGACATGAATTCGGAAATAACAAATAAAGTTAATCATTAGTCTATATTCAATAGGAATTGTGTCGAAGTTTATCAATTAAAACACCAAATTGTTCCTACTGTAAACAACGTATTCTTTATGTAGCAACAATATCCAGTAAATAACGTCTAAATTTATAGAATTGTTGTAATATCCACAAAGAATAAATCCGTCGCAATAATGAGGATGTCGGTCAACACGTCATCAATGATGAGATGATGTCCGATTTAAAGTCGAGTAATTTCAAAACAATAGATGTAACAAAATCATATGACTAAATCGTACGTTAGCTTCTTATATTTTTTATTAATTTTGTAACTTTAATATAAATCTTTTACATTAAAAAATTATAAGTATCATTTATACTCTTTATGTTGTGTAAATTATTATTATTTTATTAATAAAAAATGACATTTTAAATCAGCAATTATTGTAAAAGGAACAAGAATACAGGACTCTCACAGGTCGAGGGAATCTGTGCCAATTATTTTTCATTTTAGTCTTTTAATTAATATAATAAGGTACACAACAGCGTTAAAAATCGTATTAAATATTAAAATTTGATAGGAATTAAAGATTTTCCTTAATATAGGATATAAAAATGCAATGGAATGATTAATTTGTAACAAATGTTTTTGAGACTTCTTATATGTGAGATCCAAGAGCCAAATGGAATTCTTCTGCCCCATCTTGTGACCTGACTACATACTTTGTTATATAAAGTAATGTATAATATTCTTGAATAAATGTATAAATAGATAAAGTTGATAATGCTTAAAAACTTTTTTATTCTGAGGATGCTAAAAATTTAATATAGGTCAATCCATATAACAACTTATGAACAGTTTTAAAAATAATTGAAACAAGACTTTTAAAACGAACTGGAAAGATAAAGTAAGTTCTTGACAAGCATCCTTATAGTGTCATTGTTCCTCAGAAAGAGTTACGCTCGCTTTTTGCTCTTTTTTTTTTTTAACAGTGCAGTTATTTAATAAAACTATTTTCTTCGATAGAAAAATAACAAATGCCTTAAACGTTAATAAATATTTTTAATTAATTAAATTTCGACACACCACCGACGGATGTCTGAATAGCTTGTGATCGACTCAAGGACGGGATAATTGAAGTAGATCGTGTCTTAACTGTAACAAGTGGCAAAAATAGAAATAAAGACGTGAATAGTATGAGATGATTTGGTTTTAGTGATGCGGAATGTTCGATCATTAGCTTCTTGAATAGGAGAACTTACATCGAATGATAGGATAGTATACGCTAGAAAACTGTTTCTAAAGTATATTTATAATACGTCCAGTGAAAATGGAAAAGAGTCATAAATCTCCCCATAAAAAGTAAGTATTGAATTTATCAAATTGTCGATTTAAATTAACTCTTATGTTATTGATATATAAATAAACGAAATATATAAAATTTAGAAGAATAATGTTTAATAACATATTTTAATAGTTGTAGCATATACAACTATTAATCTATACTTTTATAAAAGTATTCATTGATTTTTTGAGCTATACGAATGGCGAAAGTATTGATTATAAATTTCTAATAAAAATTAAGTTGATGTTTTAAATAATTTATTATTATTATTATTTAAGTTTTTATTATATCATATTGTGCAATCATCGTGAATGTGGATGAAAATTGTCGCGTATAGGTTAGGTTAGACTTGAACTTCAATTTGGTCCAGGACAGTTTTTAAAATAAAGTTAATGACCTTTAGGCGAGAAAAGCTCCGTTTTGCTGATGCAATGGAAATAATTAGCATTAGAAAAATTCTTATTGGGGTATAGAGTTGGAAAAGACATTCATATATTTCTTTCGGATAGTAAAAGAGATAACGTCGATAGATTTGGCAGGATAAGGAAACATATCTGCCATTAAATTGATCTCATTTTGTAATTCTGATGTGATATCTTTTTGATCTGTATGGATTCCATTGATCAGTCAAAGTACTTTCCAAATCGAAGTATCTGTGGGCCAATTCCTGATTGTAGGTCCAGAATAAACGAGAATGCTATATAAAAATTCAAATATGTAATAATGAGATTGCAAAGTATCAAAACGAGTTTTATGTAATATAAATACCTGGTCCACAATAAATTAAAGTATTCGTCGCGAAATAGCTGTTCTTGATACTCAATTGTTTCATCAGCGGCTTTATAACAAATGTCTTTTTCCTCCTCCTCATACGGGTGAAATATTTTTCTATGTCGATTTCCTAAGCTTCCTATTTTTAAGTTCGTTCCAACCTTTCTATTTTTGTATTAATTTTTTTCAAATCAGCATTCTCAAACGGAAGATCTTTGCTGAGTGCATTCACTCAGAACACCAGACTATACAAGACTACTAGTAGAACAGAGAAAGCAAAGTCCAGCATTTACTTTCCAAGGTTGTCTTAGCGAGAATTAGCATCAAATGTCATGCTGTTAGCAATTCCAATGAATGCTTTGAAAATATTAACAAATTTATATTTTAAGCATTTGAGGCTTTCGATACAGCATTCTGGCATTTTAGATCGTGGTCTGAGTATGAGATTTTCTACATGTTTCAAAAGGGGACACAATCTTTTTCCTAATGCAGCAGAGTTGCAAATGAATTGAATTAATCTAAAAAAAACGTAATGCTACTTGCACATGATTTAGCAGAATTCAAACCACCAGATTAAGACTATGAAAATTGCAAAGAAAGAAAAATAATTTAATTCTAGAATTATGCGCTGCAAAGATTACAAATTATAATAGATATAAAGTAAATTGTTCTATCAAAATTTAAAAATTTAATCAATTTTTAAACTAGTTTGTATTTCAATATTATAATTTAAACAACTATTTATCGAATTGCTGATGTTTTGTAAAAATACATTACATCGAAATCAATTCAAAACGAAGTACAATTAGATGCACATTATAAGAAAATCGAGTGGAAATAACTATAGAAATAAACGACTGAGTTCAGTTTGGATTAATAATGTGGAAGATTTCAATGATGACGAATTGGTACAATTAACAGATAACGTTGACCCAAATTATGTGATGTAAAGAATATTGATGAAAACAGTTCAGCCTAAGATTCTGGTAAATCTGTTAAGGAATTTACTTAAAAAAAAAAAAAAAAATTAAGAGAATGGCTGGACTTGGCAATTTAAGATATTTTTGGCGCCCTAATTGAAAAAAATCCCTCCATCGAGCACTTCAGCAAATTTCAACGACAATTGGAAATTTATTTGTTCTTACGATAGATAAAATTTATATTCGTAAAAATCGTTTTGGAAAGTAAACCCACTTATTATATGTAATTTCAGTCAACGCAACATTTTTGTGGAACCAAATTACCGCGTTATACGAGGATTACCCGTATTTTTCGTAATTTTTAGTGATGCGTGATTTTTATTTATCGATATCTACCGCCATTATTTGTTTTATGTAAATATATAAATGAACTTGCATCAAAATAATATTTTATCATTCGAACATTATAATTTTCGATATGACATGATCAAAAAGGATTTGTATGCAATATTTTATTCGAAAACTACAATGCACAGAAATGGTTTTAAACTTGGGCATGATACGTTGGACTGTCCTCATTTCCCATGTAATTCAAGTATGGATCCATGAATACGTACCAGCTGTGACATTTTCATCATCGGCAAAAAGTTATCCACTGAGGAACTTCAACGAACAAATAAATGATAGTTCGAAGGGTCGTGGTGAGAACTGTATGGGGGGATGCTTCAGGATCTCCCAATTTCACTGAGCGATCCGAAACATTCCTCACACAGACTGTGGTGATATTCAGCGGGTTCGCACAGGTTCGGCCGAACCCGTTGTTAACATTTTCAAAGTTTTCCGAACCCGTTGTTAAACACACGTAACATTTCTCAGTGGTTTTGTTTCTTTTAAAAAATATATTAAAGTATATGTTTTATACTCTGTAACACTACTAAACTAGAGCCTTATTCCCTGTTCGCCTGGTACAACCTCCATCGACCGTCTCAATCTCGACTGAAACGAGGTTCAATCGCGATCGACTCGAGAGAGTGCTCGAAACTATAGATCCAGTCATAAGAGAGATCCCACAATCCCACGCACGCGAGAAAATACAAGATGGCTNATAATTTATTATTATTTTTTTTATATTCATTCCAGCGGGAAGAATATTGAATAATTTAGATTTCTCTGTACATCCTTGTGATGATTTCTATAACTTTTCTTGCGGATCTTATTTAAAATATAAAAATGTTTATGAAGAGAATATGAATCCATATGATGAATTAAGTGGATGGATCAAACTTTTAAAAAAAGGTAACTAATTTTACCGTTATTTATTGAAAATTACAAAGTTACAGCTCAGGAGAAGAATTAAAACAATTCTATATACAACAATTGTTGCAGAAGTATTAGAAAAGCCGGAAGAGCAAGACGAACCTCGATTTGTCAGTAAAGTGAGGAAATATTATCATTCGTGTCTGAAAAAATGTAAGTATTTAATATCATTTAATAATAATAAATAGTGAATTTATTATATATGCCAGGTATATATATATTTCAGCTCCTTCTGTCAAAGATCTTCTGAAAATCTTTCTAAATGTTACCGAATTTAATGAATGGCCTCTCTCCAAAACCGATTCTGTAGTATTGGAAGAAACAATAGCAAAGTCAATTATCTATTTAAATACAGGATTTATTTTTGATGTGTATACTTCATATAAAGATGATTTTTTCGAGTATATTGGAGTAAGAGTTTTGTATTTATTCGTTACAAAAATACTGTATATTAATAATTTTGTTTTTATTACAATAAAAATTGTATATTAAAATCAACATTGTATATTATCAAAATTGTATATTAAAATCAAATAAGTAATATAAATTTTAATAATTAATTTTTTAAATTATAAAATATCAATGACATTATAATTTTCAGCTTATTCCCGCTGGAATCACAATAAACGAACATGGATTATTAAACACAACTGAAGAAGATTCTATTCGATTAAAAACGCATTATTTAGATTTATTTCGATACGTTTTTTCAAAATTAGATTTAAAAGATTCAGAATCTTTTACAGAGGAAATAATTGAGATGGAAACATCTTTAGCTCAAGTAAGATTTTCGTAAAGAAATATTCTAAATTCTAATTGTTCCATACGGATTAAGAGCCAGATCTTATTTTTTCTAAATACTTTGCAGTATAATTATAATAAACAATGAAAAACACAGCTAATAATATTTAAATAACAATTTTTTTTTTCAGATTACGGAAAAAGAAAACAGTTCAAATTCTACAAAAAAGACAGTTTTAGAATTAGAGTCGGAATGTCCTGAGGTAATAACCTCTCTAATAAACTTAATATTGAATTAAATTTTAAATAAATTATTATAATAAATTTGTATTTAGATAAAATGGACATCCGTCTTTAAACTTATCTACGATTACTTGGATTATTCGAGCAATTATAGCACGAATCTTACGATTAACGTAAACGATATGGATTATATGATCAGTATATGTGAATTTGTAAAAGAAAATGACCACAGGTATATAAAATTAGTGAATTAATTAATTAATGTAATTGTTATTTACACTCGTAACTGTATTTTAAAATTTAACTTTCAATAGGATAATGTATAATCTGATTGTTTGGAACACTTTTGCCAAATACTTATATAGAACCGATTTTGTTTTTTCTCAACTCGTAAACATTATGGGATTTGATACTCAACTTCGTGTAACAGAATCAATGACTAATAAATTGAAATGGAAAGTTTGTATATCAAATTTCCAATTTATATTTGAATTTGGAGTACGTTTTATGCTGTTAAATACTCAAACCGATCACTACGATGATAAAGTCAGAAAGGTAAGCTCTTCCATTCTCTAAAAAATTCTTCTGCAATAAAATTGTTACAAAGGGATTGATTTATTTAATTCTATATTCGTTATTATCTAGCGAATCTCCTCTAAAAAATTACAGAATATTAAAATAAATAAATTTAAATAAATTGTAATACGATGAAAGAAATTAAATAACATGTATTAAATACTCGTTCTTNTAAGGTCTGTTTTTGCGCTAATGTTGCTAATGCACCATTTGAGCGAAAAAAAATTGTTAAGGAAAAATTTTCTGTTAGCGAACCCTTTGTTAAATATTTCGAATATCACCACTGCATACAGTCCATCGATTATCCGCTGAATGCCGTTGTCTCTGTGGGGTCTTGTGTTAACTTATCAAACAGAAGATAATGTCTTCCATTTCAAAATCAGCCTTCTCGTCTGCTTTTCTCGCAAAAGCGTGAGTCTTTTCATAAATGGCGGTCACAAAGCTTTTACTGGGCAGAAACTCCACACGTTGGTTTCGGAAAGTCATCAACACTATCTTGGTATTGGCTGGGACAATTTTGCATTTTATGAAGGTGAACCAGAATGCTTTCAAGCCACGCTTTGTTGTTTGTCTGTCAGAGTATGTCGATGATTCATTGTCTGGGCTAATTCTATCCAAGAAGTTCTTATCCTTTTTCAAGTGCAAAAGACGTTCCACTGCAATCTTGTTCTCACCCAAAGGGTTCTTTCGGTCCCTCCAATACGTAACTTTCTTGTATTGTAAAAATAGTGAAGAATGTTGTACTTTGTATGAAGGATAGATTCAAGTTTGTAGCGACTCCCTCTCTGTATCATGCACTTTTCTTGCACCAGTTTCTTCCACTAGAATAATGTTTGTACACAGACATTTGATCGATATACAATGTTGGTCTCCATTTTGGAATTCTTTATGCATAAAATATAAAAATACCCTATTTTGAAATTCTTTCTTCACTGTACGCATTGCTCACTGTACACTGAAACCATTCCACTATGAATTCAAGAGGATGAATCGAATGATACTAAGCTGCTCATATGCAGATGACGACTGTAATGCGCCAGCCATTATCGAACATTTGAATGATCATTCGTTTTGAGTGATTTGATAACTACGAAAGTATGTCATAAAGAAAATTTTGACAATCATTAAAAATCTTTTAAGTATGGGCAATTGTTAAATCATTCTCTACGCTTAGAGATAAGTAAATTTTTTTGTAACACGAAAAAGTTACATAATTTTAATGTATTAATTAACTTATTAAAAACTTTAAATGAAAATAACTTTATTAAAACAAATAAAAATATATTTAAGAAGAAATAATATATTACGTTGAAATTCAATGCAAAATGAAATACTGTATTACACTTTTATAAAGTCGATGTAGACTGCAAATTTATAGGCTTGTAACATTTAAGTAAGAATTCATACTGGTAGACTTCCCTATAACACTGTTGATAATTCCGTGTTATATGAATTCCATGTTGTACGAGTCACTTAGATTTTACAAATACGTGTGCCGGGCTGTGAACGGCTCACCTATTTGTAAAATCTAAGTGACTCGTACAACATGGAATTCAAATAACACGAAGTTATCAACAGTGTTATAGGGGGTCTATTGTACTTATTTACAACACTTGGCTGGATAATTCAGTTAAAAATACGTTTATAAATAGTATTTTAAACTGAATTACAATAATTTTAACCAAATTTAATATAGTTGTAATAACAATAGGCAGTATTTTAAGCTTTTTATTTTCGTATGCAGCAAGATGAAACTGAATTTATACGTTTTTTTTCAGTATCTATAAGCTGACTAGTTTTTATCTAGCAAACATTAAAAATAAACAATTATTTGTTAAATAATCTTGAAAATTTATAATTATTTCATCTTCCATTCTAAAAGATCCGATGAAAGATCCGAAGTGAAGATAAATACTTTACTTCAAGGCAATTATCTTTAACCTGTTTTCTTTGCTGTAGTCATAAATTAGATAATCGAGAAGTGGTAGAAGTATAACAAGATGGAGAAGTGACGTAACTATCCTTCTTAAGTTAGTTATTTCTAAAAAAATAATCTATTTTCATTAATATTAGTACATTAAAAAGACGTAAATATGTAACTTTTTATATTCACTATCTTATTGTGTAGAAATTCATTTAACACAATGAATACAAACTAGTATAATAAACGAATTTCTAAAACAGTTTTTAACATTACTTTTACAAGAAATATGTTTTAGAATTTATCATTAGAAATTAATCCAAAATTTTCTTTAGTTTATTTTTTATTGTCAAATAAACGAAAGAAAATTTATTGTGTTTAAGTTTACTATTGTTAATTTACAATATAAATAACAATATTAAACTTAAATACAATAACAATGCTAAATACAATTTTATAACTTTAAGAAGGAATGCTTTTGTTATATCCATATTCTTTACGTATGTTTATATAATGTATATCTTATGCGAATACAATCTATACGGGGCTAACAAAATTTCAATACTGTATAGATTTCTTATTCTATAATATCCTAAAAAAGATTTTAACATTTTATATTTATATTATAAACCTTTATTATCTTGGTGTTAACCATAATGTCGATGTTTTTAATAGGATCATGATTTCTATACTAAAATTAATTATGTTTTCCTTACTATAAGGAAACTAAAATTAGATTTAAAGTTGACAAAAACCGAAAAGAATTATATAAATAGATTATTCTAATTCTCTTTATAAAAAAAAAATATGTTCCAGGATGTTCTTTATCATATCAAATCGGTTGATTATTTCTAATTGTTTACAAGGTTATATCGAATCTTAAGGATAAATTAAAGAAGTGCTTTTTCAGTTAGTCTCAACATATGTTTTATTACTTAATATTATTAAAGCATCTATCTAAACCGACAAATTCAAACGAATATGAAGGTTTTCTTTAACACGTTACAAAAGTAGAATTAAATTCGATTATTATTATATTTTTGTATTAAATTGTAAAAATATGTATTAATAATATTTATGAAAAAATATTTATTTATAATTGATTACTTCTATTGATAACTTTCTATTTTTTATTTTGATAAAGTAAAACCTGTTTAAAACAGAAACTTGTCTAAAAGAAAGAAAAATAATTAATTAATAGCATACTTTTTACGCTATTACGCTATTACGCCGATGGGAAGTTGTTGAGCTGCCACCAGTCAATAGCATACAGGTAACCCCCGTATAACACGGCACTTCTATAGCACGGATTCACTCTAACACGGTTCGAGAATTGGTACCATTCCCCGTATAACACGGTACTTTTATAGCACGGATTTACTCTGACACGGTTCGAGAATTGGGTAAAACCCTCGTACAACAGGAAATGTAATAAATTTTTACATACTTAAGTAATAATAGTTCACGAAAATTATTATTTTCGTGAACTATTAGTACTTAAGTATGTAAATTTTCTCTTCTCGCCTTCTGTCGATACACGTGGTCCTTCTCGAAACTTGTTTCAATGTTGCCAGATCGCGACGCTTCTGCTTCTGATGTTGCCGAATGTTTTTCCCTTATTCCATACTTGCTTTATTCTTCATAAGTGCTTAGCACCATATAAGGAAATTTATAAAGACCTTTTAACTAGAAGCAAGCAATCTAAAATTACATACATTTTGCAAAAGGTAAAGCATGGATCTGAAGATAATGCAGAAAAATGCTCAGAGGATAAGGATAACTTGCCAAAAAGAAAACGCTCTCGGTTAATTAATAGTGTTTTTAGTGATGACGAAGAAAACATTGTTTAATTTATATTAATATGTATCACTTAAAAAAATTTTAATGAAGATATTTATCTTAATTATGAAAATATACTAGCATGTTTTTTAATTTTTGGAACCTAACCCTCCTTTTCGTATTAGTTCTTTGTTTCGTATAACACGGATTCGCATAACACGGCAATTTTTTGGAACGTAACTACCGTGTTATACGGGGATTACCTGTATATTCATTGCATATTTACATATATCTATTATATATATTTTGCCGTACACTGTATATATTAATATATGCTGTACTGTACTGTACATAAACGAAAATAATGTTTCTGGTAGCATGACCAAAAAAATAATGAAAAAGATGTACTAATAGCTTCAAATTCGGCATATTGCATTAATGTATTTAGGTTACATGTATTTTAATTTGTATACAGTTACCATATTGTAAAATCCCAAAGTGGGAATACGCCCAATCAACCCCAACACGCACGCAATCTCGAATCATGTTCTTGAATCTGCTACACAATGATTCGTGTTTCTTTTAGATTTCTTAATTATTATTTTTCTGTATATTATATTGCCATAAATAAATATTATTTCTATTTAAATTATAAGCTAATTCGAGGAAGAACGAAGAATAACGTTCAATCACTGGACAAAACTTGTTGCAAATCTAAACGTGTACTAAGACATCGCGCGACTTCATTCAATCTCTTCAGGGACCACGAACATTGTCACTTTGAGTCCACCGTGTATCGAAAACGAAGTCGTGGACCTCTAATTTTTACATTTAAATGGAGCCTCATTACATTTTTTTAAAAAAAAATTCCTTATCTGAATTACTGGAAAATGACAGAGTTTCATCAAAATCGGCCCATCAAATTTCGAGAATGAACACAATTCTGAAAGCCGCATACAAGAGGATATACTCTAACGTTCTGCCTCAACTAGGAAATAATAAATACAAGTCAAAGATTTATAAACCTTAAATAAAAAAAAAAAAAAGATAATTTTTATAAGTTATGATAGTAGTTTTTAATTAATGAAATTGATTATGATTAAAAGTCTTTAATTTAAAAAAAATGTTTAAGAAATGTAAAATATTCATGTAATGTATTCCTTAACATAGAAAATGTGCTGCGTGGAAAAAAAGAACATTAATGGAGCGTTATCTTATATTGGTTAGTATCGTATTCTTTGTCGCCTTTATCGTATTAAGCGGAGTTCTCGTACATTTTAAAAGTAAGTTTATTTAAATTAGATATTATCAATTTTAGAATGAAGATTGAAATTTATATTTGTAAAAATTATTTAAAGAATCATAGCAGATTATCGTATTTATATATTTGCATATTTTTATCTCTACACATTAAAAATATTATTATTAATAAAATTATAAATAGTCTATAATTTATTAATTATTTGACTAGATATACAATCAATTTTAAGATGTTGTATTAATGGAAATAACTTTTTTCTATATTCTGTATATAGAAATAGACTGATTTTTTTTGCTTGTCTGTTATTTTGTAATAGGACAAAAGTTGAGGAAATTTAATTATTTATCACAGAAAAAACGAGGAATATAATTAAAGTTATATTAAAATATATACTACATTTCCCTAAGATACTAATTGTTTTCCTGCGTTGTGAACAAGGACAAAGAAGACTTTTCATTGTATAGTCTAATATTTGTTAACCTTTTTACTTCATACAAAAATTCTATTTCTTTCTTATAAAAATTCCAGACTTTAAAACCGATTCATTCTGGTAGATTGCAGGTCAAACTGGGATGATTGGCAACTCTACTTGTAATAAATAAATGTATATACAATATGCATTTTATTTAACAAATTTTAAAGCTTTTATAGAAAAGTTTAGCAGTTAAAATAAATGCAAATTAATATAATATACAAATATAGAAATTTCAATAATTTAAATAATTAACAGATATTTAAAAATAAAATGAATATGTATTTTACAGATTTTTATTTTTGATTTACAAATTGTTTATTTATTATATGTAACAATATAGATTAAATATTCACAGATACCTTTAAAAGAAATTCTAAAGAACCTGTATGTCTCACTTCTGTATGTAAAAATGCAGGTAAGTGAAAATTAAATGTATGTATAAAATTTTAAGATTTCACTTTTATTTTTCTGGCTGTTATACAATAGACGAAAAGTATTTTAAACACCCAGATTTTTTTGTATTTTTTTGATTCTTTAAAACCTCCGATTCCATAGTCACCAAAAAAAGAGAGAACAAACTTCTGTATGTATGGATACATGCGTGTATAGGTGTATGTATCCATACATACACCTATACACGCATTGTATAGGTGTATGTATAGGTATTGTATTTGCTTTATAAGTTATCTCATGACTGCATAGACCGAAAATTTTGAAACTTGGCAGGAATAATTCTATGTCCATTGATGCTAGATATTATAAACAGAATTACGCACGGAGGCAAATAATTTATTATTATTTTTTTTATATTCATTCCAGCGGGAAGAATATTGAATAATTTAGATTTCTCTGTACATCCTTGTGATGATTTCTATAACTTTTCTTGCGGATCTTATTTAAAATATAAAAATGTTTATGAAGAGAATATGAATCCATATGATGAATTAAGTGGATGGATCAAACTTTTAAAAAAAGGTAACTAATTTTACCGTTATTTATTGAAAATTACAAAGTTACAGCTCAGGAGAAGAATTAAAACAATTCTATATACAACAATTGTTGCAGAAGTATTAGAAAAGCCGGAAGAGCAAGACGAACCTCGATTTGTCAGTAAAGTGAGGAAATATTATCATTCGTGTCTGAAAAAATGTAAGTATTTAATATCATTTAATAATAATAAATAGTGAATTTATTATATATGCCAGGTATATATATATTTCAGCTCCTTCTGTCAAAGATCTTCTGAAAATCTTTCTAAATGTTACCGAATTTAATGAATGGCCTCTCTCCAAAACCGATTCTGTAGTATTGGAAGAAACAATAGCAAAGTCAATTATCTATTTAAATACAGGATTTATTTTTGATGTGTATACTTCATATAAAGATGATTTTTTCGAGTATATTGGAGTAAGAGTTTTGTATTTATTCGTTACAAAAATACTGTATATTAATAATTTTGTTTTTATTACAATAAAAATTGTATATTAAAATCAACATTGTATATTATCAAAATTGTATATTAAAATCAAATAAGTAATATAAATTTTAATAATTAATTTTTTAAATTATAAAATATCAATGACATTATAATTTTCAGCTTATTCCCGCTGGAATCACAATAAACGAACATGGATTATTAAACACAACTGAAGAAGATTCTATTCGATTAAAAACGCATTATTTAGATTTATTTCGATACGTTTTTTCAAAATTAGATTTAAAAGATTCAGAATCTTTTACAGAGGAAATAATTGAGATGGAAACATCTTTAGCTCAAGTAAGATTTTCGTAAAGAAATATTCTAAATTCTAATTGTTCCATACGGATTAAGAGCCAGATCTTATTTTTTCTAAATACTTTGCAGTATAATTATAATAAACAATGAAAAACACAGCTAATAATATTTAAATAACAATTTTTTTTTTCAGATTACGGAAAAAGAAAACAGTTCAAATTCTACAAAAAAGACAGTTTTAGAATTAGAGTCGGAATGTCCTGAGGTAATAACCTCTCTAATAAACTTAATATTGAATTAAATTTTAAATAAATTATTATAATAAATTTGTATTTAGATAAAATGGACATCCGTCTTTAAACTTATCTACGATTACTTGGATTATTCGAGCAATTATAGCACGAATCTTACGATTAACGTAAACGATATGGATTATATGATCAGTATATGTGAATTTGTAAAAGAAAATGACCACAGGTATATAAAATTAGTGAATTAATTAATTAATGTAATTGTTATTTACACTCGTAACTGTATTTTAAAATTTAACTTTCAATAGGATAATGTATAATCTGATTGTTTGGAACACTTTTGCCAAATACTTATATAGAACCGATTTTGTTTTTTCTCAACTCGTAAACATTATGGGATTTGATACTCAACTTCGTGTAACAGAATCAATGACTAATAAATTGAAATGGAAAGTTTGTATATCAAATTTCCAATTTATATTTGAATTTGGAGTACGTTTTATGCTGTTAAATACTCAAACCGATCACTACGATGATAAAGTCAGAAAGGTAAGCTCTTCCATTCTCTAAAAAATTCTTCTGCAATAAAATTGTTACAAAGGGATTGATTTATTTAATTCTATATTCGTTATTATCTAGCGAATCTCCTCTAAAAAATTACAGAATATTAAAATAAATAAATTTAAATAAATTGTAATACGATGAAAGAAATTAAATAACATGTATTAAATACTCGTTCTTCCAACTTAGAAGCATATGCAGTTTTTTTTATGATTTTAAAATTTATTATTTTATAATATATAAAATTCTGTATTGTTTTTAGATGGAAAATTACGCTAAACGGATCATAAAAGAGTCAGAAAAAATATTTTCTAAAGAATCTTGGATTGACGATTACAGTAAAAACATTACAAAAATAATGGTAAGAATTATTTAAATTTTTTCAATTGATGCCTCGTGTACATAGATTCATAAATCTATTATTTTAGAATTTATTTCAGATTTTTCTATAAAGAGATTACCGAAATATAAAATAAAGCTGTATTTTCTTTTTCTTCATCCTTCACTGTAGACGCTCTTAGAGAAAAAACTACTGGGTCTAGAATACTCAGATTTTAAACTTAAGCCTTTCACGTTATCAGTGAGGTATTGGCGAAACTTCCGGGTCAATAGGTCAAAGTTCACGGGATTTCCCACATAGCTATTTTACTTTTATGGCTTAATTTTATGTTTACTTGACGCAATTTTTTTACATCTCAATTGTTTTTCTTTGTATTAAAATGTTTCAAAAAACTCATTGTATGATTGTTATATTTGTTGGAATAGCAAATAATCTCTGATTCGGACAAATTTCGAAAAATTGTTTAGTAATTTAGATTTTCTTGACAATAAAAAAATAATATTTAGCGAGTATTTCCGATATTCGGGAGTCTTTGTAATTCCATACATTATATTACTGTAATTACTAAACATTTTACATTGCTGTAAATTATACTGTTATATAATTTTTAAGTTTATTTCCTGTAATAACGAGCAATTATTTATTGTGACATAGTCACAATCCCGGGCTACAATTTTTAATTTTATTTTTTATTTATTTAATTTAAAACATATGCTCTCCACTTCAAATTAGTAGTGGCTTGTCCCTGTACATCATACTTTTCCTTTAACAATAGAATCATCTATCTAATATCTTTCGGAAGTTCAAATATAGTTAGTTAATCGAGGCCTCCTGTCCTTAAATATTTTATTTAAGACAGTAATAGCTACTCGTGCTGAAGTAAATTACTTCATTTTAAAGATAAAGAAATTACTATTTTAATTATCTCTTGACTGGGGCATACCAATGGGGCCCTGGTTGATCACGACTGCTCCTTATGTTCTTTCTACAGCGAAATTGAAAATACGGAGGGGCCACGTTACGTACGTTTTCAAAATGGTGGATTGTCGTGTATGTGCGTGTATCTGTTGTTGTCATTTTTACTTCTCCTCAGCTATCAATCATCAGAACAGATTAACAATCAGAATGGATTAGAATAAAATAATGAGTGAAAAGAATCATAACTTTTTCTTTAGTATTACAATATATATACTACATTTTAATAGTAAAACGTCAACTTATAAAAAATATATTCTTATTAAAGATTGCTAATATGAAATACGGAATCGGATACCACAATTCTTCTTTGGATATAAAGAAACTTGAGATGACTTTTGATAAAGTAAGTAAATATTTTACTATAAAAATTTTTCATTTAATTTATAAACATTTTATCTTTTAGTTTCAAAAATTTAATTCAGCTTAAACAAAACATTTTTAATGTTTTTTTCTTTCTTTGCTTCGTGGTCGAATGTATAAAACCACTGAAAACAGAGTTTGACGTGGGTTCTTATCTCACCACCGTACTGGCCGCCTGGAGTTTTTCCTGTTCTTTTTACGTGTTTAACACCTAAATAAGAGGCCATTTTCCCCATAAAAAGTCTTCCTGGGTGGCACCTAACCCTTGGCAGACCGCCCATGTGTTATATTGCTTTATTCCATCAATTTAATCCAATCTAACCCAGTCTATAATTTTTCCTTGAATTATTATACTTTTTATTTCTAAAATTGCTAATAAATGAATTGAAAGTAATCTGTCGGGTGGTCGTAGGTTGAGATATTACCTCTTAACATTCATTTGGAAAGTGGAATTTTTAATAAAAATTAAATGAATTATTTAAATAGTATAATAAACTTAAAGTAAACTATGCTAAATGTACTGTATATTGTTTTAGATAAATATCGGCGATAATTATTTAGAAAATATTCTTAATACAAAAAAATACCAATTTTCCGATTTTTTATTCAATGGAATAATAAATCAAAACTTCAATAAAGAGTACGTATATTTTCAATAATCTAATTTTTTTCAAGTTATTATTATTTTAATCAATAATATAAGCATTTAAATGGTTACTTTTCCAGGGAGACATTTAATCCTTTTATAGTTAACGCTTTTTACTTTGGAAAACGCTTTAAGGGAAGATTTAGTAAGTTTTTTTTTACTAAATAATTAAGAATATATTACTAATGGTATTCATTTTTGCAAAAGCATGATATTAGTGCCATTTTTAAGTATATTAGTAAAAGGAAATTGAAAGTACTGTACATGTATTACAGTTTTACCTTTGGGAATAATGCTTCCGCCATTTTATTCTCACGATGCACCGAAGTAAGTGATCTAATACCGGTATTAATATACTTTGCAATTCAATATATATATGTATATTTTTAACTTTAAGATTATTGGCAGTTATCTTAATTACGGAGGAATTGGAAGAATTATCGGTCATGAACTTTCGCATAAATTCGATGATCTAGGTTCGTATTTTAATTTACATTTCTATTATTTTAATGTAATACATTTCATTATTTCTATTAACTATTTAATATTTATTTATTTACAAAATTATTTTTGTCATAATATTCCTATAACTTAATAAATTCAATATACTGTACTTGAAAATCATTTAGATAAAGATAAGACAATGATAAAATCTATTTGCAGCTTAATTAAATTCAAAACTTATTAAATACAGTCAAACCTCGGGTTTCGAACGCCTCGGTTTTAAAACAATTAGGATAACGAACAAAATTTTGAACACCGTATTTATCCCGGTTGCCGTATGATAACTCGGTTGCCGAATAAAGAGCCGGCCACATATTAAAGAGACACAGAATGTGCTAATTTAAAATTATTTAAATTATATTTTGATGTTTTTATCTATTACAATCTACAAAATAGTTATTACATTAATAAATAATTAATTTTTAATAATAAATATTTTATTTAGGATCACTTGCACCAACATCTTGATCTCAGATCAAATATAGTTGATCCGGGATAAAGGGAAAAAATCGTTGCACCAATGCGATTTAAATTATGATCGACTTTCACGTCTTCGATCAAGTTGATCCTCCCGATTTTGGCTGATCAAACGTGGTGATCGAATCAGAAAGGAAATGGCGGAGTCTGATAGTGATATGCTCTTGGAATATTTAGAAACTGTATATTACTATATAGGGGAAAATGGGGCAGGATGAGGACGTTAAGGTTTGAAAAGTCATAAGATGGCAACCGCTTTAACGAGAACAATGATTTTTTTATTCTCGGCAACTACAACATTTGATAATATATAATACAATATTTGATTTTTGAAAAACGTTTTTAAAAACAAGAAAATTTAATATTTTAAAATTATACGTAAATGCATCATCTCGCCCCACCCGTGGGGTAAGACGGGAATATTATTTTTATATACAAGAAGGACAAATTAAAATTAATCTTCAATATTGGCACAAGAACAATGCGCCCATTTATCACAGCGGCTACATTTATTATTATTTTCCGAATAAATAAATATAAAAGTTTGAACTTACTCGTATTTACTTTACCAGACGATACCGTTACTTCGCGCATGCTCGGTTTCGCTATTTTGTAAGCAGACGATATTTTTTTTCGTGGAAAAAGATTTTTATTTCGATTGTTATTTCACATTTTATTTCTTGTTAAGATAGTATTTAAATTTAAAAAAATGTTTTCGCAAATAAAATAAAACGTAAAACATAAATAATAAAGTAATACAGTATATAGTGTATAAATTTATTACAGCTAGATATGATTTAAAAGTAGAATATTTCATTTTCTATAAAAAGATCATTTTTAAACTTATTATTTTATATATTCGAAAAAATGATATAGAATTAACAATGACAACGAATTTAAAACTAGTTCGCTGCACTATACTGCAGTGCAGCCAGCGGCAGAATTCGTGGCCAACTTTGGGCAAGACGGGATACCCCATCTTGCCCCAACGTGCACTTTTTATACCGACTGCAAACACGGGTCAACTTTATTTCAAAACTAAACAATTTCGGTCTTAAAGATTACTTCGAATACCATAATATCTTCATCTGTAAGATAATGTAGAGGTTCGCAATGATGCTTACTTTGTAGAAACTTTGTAGCGGGCGTAAAATTAGATGAAGTATTGCCGAAACGTGGAAAATGTCTTACTTCCAAACAAAGAGAGCGATTCGGACGTTCTCTCATCCCGCGATCTCTTTTGAGGTTGACATTTAATTCCCCAAATAACGGCTAGATGAAAGCGCATTAACCACGAATAAACAGACGTCCCCGTCTTACTCCATGGCCCCATCTTGCGCCAAGTGACGGTATCGTAAAGTAATGGTAAAGTAAATACGAGTAAGTTCAAACTTTTATATTTATTTATTCGGAAAATAATAATAAATGTAGCCGCTGTGATAAATGGGCGCATTGTTCTTGTGCCAATATTGAAGATTAATTTTAATTTGTCCTTCTTGTATATAAAAATAATATTCCCGTCTTACCCCACGGGTGGGGCGAGATGATGCATTTACGTATAATTTTAAAATATTAAATTTTCTTGTTTTTAAAAACGTTTTTCAAAAATCAAATATTGTATTATATATTATCAAATGTTGTAGTTGCCGAGAATAAAAAAATTATTGTTCTCGTTAAAGTGGTTGCCATCTTATGACTTTTCAAACCTTAACGTCCTCATCCTGCCCCATTTCCCCCTACTCGTGGAATCATTGGAAAGACAGCTGACACGAACGCACTAATTACGATGCCCAATGCATTTTTCTCTGGTCAAATTTTTGATCTACATCATTTCAACTTATTTCCACGAATCGTGGATCAAATGTGGTTGGTGCAACGCTTTTTGTTCGATCGTAGTTTATTCAAATACTTTCGTTAACAACACGCGACGCTCCTTTGTTTAGTTAATTAATTAATTAACATAAAGAAAAATAGAAGACACGTTTTACACTACCATCTTTTGTAAGTAGATGATACAATTGCAATCATTAATATAATATATTTAATTACGTTAATAAATATATTTTGAATTTATGTTTCTCACTTCAAATTATTTCTTAATTTTGATAAAATAAAACTGAACAGTAAAATACAGAAAATTATGTTATTATAAACAAAAACATATAAGTTTAATTACATTAATTAGTTTATTATTATAAATATTTTTTGTGTAAGAAAGATGCGTAACAGTAAAATAATTTAATGTGTTTCAATTATTTCTGTTCAGATTTAAATATACAGTATATTGTAGAGACAGAAAATATACAGATCTTAAGTCAACTTAAAAGTAACATATTTAAATAAAAATCACTTTAATCTCATTGTATATATTTTTAACGTAATACAGTAATTGTACTCATTACGTTAATCAATATTAAAATTACACATTAATGATTTACATTATTTATCAGTAGCGCAACTAGAACCGATATTGTTGGGGGATCTAAACTAGAATTAATATTAATACATGGATATTTTTCTAATATTTATCTATTAATTAAATTACAATGGTAGAGTTCTAAAAGCAAGTAAGTACCAGATCCCAAAACAATAATAAAAACCAGAATAACAATAATAGTTCATTAAGAGCATATACAATATATATATTTATATACAGTATTTATTTATACATAATTATACCACCCGTATTATTATACTGAAATATATAATCCCAGTGAGAAATAATTAATTTTAATAACTGAATATTAATTAAAATTATAGGGATACAAATAGTTTTAACATAATTGACAGTATCTATTATTTCCAATATTAAAATAGAGATATCGAAAAGATTGAACGGTTGCTACAACAGCATTTGACAAAGAGAAAAGTTGAGATATAGGCAACCGTAAAATGGGGTGACTTCGGCCAATTGTTTCAAAAAGATGGGATCATTACTAATAAACATAGAATTGCAATTAATATATTGAATAATAATAACAGTATCATGCACTCCTGATAGAAAATATTTAATTTTTAAATCACGCAATTCATTTCTTTAAAAGTTACATGGTGGCCACATATTTACCTTTATGATGGGTGAATATGTCCTGACTTTGGAAACTGCATTTTATGCTACATTTAATCTTCTATGAGTTGAATATGACCATAAAAATTATGCTTTTAAAGCTTATTTATTTATATTATTTATTTATGTTATTTATTTAAAGTTTTAAACTTTATAAACCGTGAAAAAGTATATAAAACAAGATTTAAAATGTTTTCATCTATACTAATATTATAACGAAGTAATGTTTGTAAGTTTGTATGTAGGGGTAATCTCCGAAACTACTCATCCGATTTCAAAAATTCTTTCACCAATATTTAGAATGGAACCTCAGGGTGGACATAGGCTGTATACTATTCCGTTAAACATTCATATAAATTAAAAGATATAATCTAGGATTAAGGCTTTTATGTCCAACAGATGGCGCTACGAGTACGACGACCTAAGTTTGCTTTTCTGTGAGGCATTATGCTTTTCTGTGAGGATGAACTAAAGCAGATCATCTTCTATCTATCTATATAAATAAAAATGTAATGTTAGTTTGTTCTACCGATTCCTTTGAAATTTTGACACAACGATGCATTAGAATACGCAAGTGTTTTTATATAATATATGTGTCGAAATTCCCCCCACTGGGGGGAGATGGACAGGATTAAGACTTACCATAAAGAACTCTGCTTCTATTTATACTATTTTAGATGCGGTTTTTTGCGTTTTTGATTGCGTTTTAATAGAGTAAGTCAAGAGAATGTACACTAAGAAGGGATTTTTCGAAAAATTCCCCCACGGGGGAAGTGTTAAACATTTATAATAGATACATTTTGAGCCACAACATCGCGTGGAGGGATCTGCTAGTTCAAAATAAAATATTAGAAATAGTATTTCTGGCCTTTTTGTGTTCTCTGAGCGGTAAAGGGCCTAAAACCGCAAAAAAGTATCATAAAATAATTATTATAGACATTTTGATCATAAAGATATTACTGAGATTATTTTTCTCACAACATTAACAAAAATATTTTTGTCGTAGAGATTACATTTTTATCAAAAATATCACAGATAATATTTTTATCAAAATAAAAGTTTTTATTACAAAATTATAAAAATAAAATAAGATATTGGTATGTTTTTCATCAATGCAGGATGGGAAAGAAAGTCACTTAACACCCCTGCTACAAAATACAGAATACAGTACTGTACACCCAAAGTTAATTTGCTCATGTCAGGAAGACATTACACCAAGAGGGGAACAGATTGATGTGTGTTACACTCATGGCCGCTATCTTGAATGCAACACCGAAACTGTAAATGGGAAGGGAGTCATGTGACACATCATTTAGAGACTTTACAAAAAATTAATTGCTGAAAGATTTCTTGATCTTCCTTAAATGGTTACAGAGTTATTAATGTGTTTCCTTCGTTGTTACAAGTTGAAGAACAGACAGCATAATGCTCCTAACACTGGAAAAATGCATCGAAATTGTCCTGATGGCAGGGGGAGAATTCCAGAGTGATTGCACATGATTTTAATCAATATAATCCACACCGAGAGCTTATGTCCAATTGCCAACTTAGCCTACTCCAGAAATTTAGGGAGACTGAATTGGTCCATGATAAAAAACATTCGGGCCTGTGCAATCAACCTGGAACTTCTCTCTCTTGTCATTAGAACACTTTCGATGCGTTTTTCTTGTGTTAGGAGCATTGTGTTGTCTGTTCTTCAACCTATAACAATTAATAACTCTGTACCGTTTGAGGAAGGCCAATGAGTCTTTCAATAATCAATTTCATGTGAGATTCTGATCCTAAATGATGTGTCACATGACTCCCTTCCCATATAGTTTTGGAGTTGCATTCAATACACATCAATCTGTTTACCCTTTGGTGTAATGTGTTCCTGACATGAGGGAATTAACATTGGGTATATTCTATATTTTGTAACAGGGGTGTTAAGTGATTTTCTTTCCCATCCTGTACTTTTTCATTTCAGGGATTGTAACATCCTTTTGCCTGTTAACAGCAATTGGTTCTTGTATAACTTGAATTATATTTCTTTTTTCATAGTAGGATACTTCTATAGTAGGATATATCCTTAGTAGGCTACTTTCAAATAAGAATTACTGATTATCATTGTGGTAACTATGGTATTTTTAGAGTCTGCTCTCAATATTTTTCCTGAAAATTCTGAACCCTATTAGATCATTCATGTTAATAATGCCATCTGGTTCAACGCCATCCAATGAATGTGCCAAATTCTTGTAAAACTTTTCTATAGTTTCAGTAGAAATTGTACCTCTTCCTGCTGTTATATTAGCAGATGTTCGTATAGCTAGCTCCTTATTGCGTTGTAAAAATCCTTTTATAAAATCATATCCAGATAAATTATCTCTAAACTGACGATTTTTCGCTCTTTTATCACATGTCGTAACACAGTTGTTGTAATGGAAATCCAAATTCTAATGCCATAATAAGATAGTAACTAATGATTTTTTTTCCTCTTCTGTGGTCAAAATGTCTGACCTCCTCGTTTCAAAGGATAGTTTCCATTAATTTTATTTTGTAAAGTTGTTCTTGCAATGTAAATTAATAATTATTTTATCAAAATATAGACTCAAATGCAATCACCATTTCTTTTTTTCTAGATCAACTTTTTACAGGTTAATTATGATCATTATGGTTAAATATAAAAAAATAACTATAAAAATAAATGTATTCAAATTTTTTTAATATAATTTTTTCTATAAATCAAATTGATATCCAGAAATTGTAGAAATTTATTATTGTTGTTTAAAGTTTGGCCACAATCGCCTACATGGACCGAAATCACCCCAATTTACCGTACTTAATAAAAAAAAAAAAGTTATAAGTATGGTTTGTGAATACCGAATTATCAAAAAAAAGAGAGAAAACCATTATAATATTTATAATACAATATTAGAAAAAAATTAATAGAACAAATTTGTTAATAAACTGTATTGAGGTAACGATAAACAAAGAAAATGAACCGGCCGAAGCACTTTTATCATCTCATGTCACTAGAAGCCGCTTCATATTGTCTCAGAAATCTTAGGAGTGGGTCCACCAGTAGCCAAGCGGTTCCATTTCCTGATCACTGGGAGTTCGATAGTGAGTTCGCGCCTCTCCCGGACGAATATATTTGGAGTTTTCCGGGTTTTTTCATGTCTATAACGTATGAATAAGGGACCAGTTACCCTTAAAAGACCCCGGGAGCCATTATTCCCCGCGTAAAGACCACCATAAACGCATACGACTACTATTACATGACTATTACGCCACACTTTACCACGGGGTGATATATCCATGCCCAATTAACTGATACAAGACAAAATCTTAGGAGTTTGCGTATTGTAATAGAAAATACTGTATTTGGTTTATCAATTAAGCTCGATTCTTCCGAACTGAGATTAGCGGTTTACAAGTGATTTAATTATTGTATTAATTGGTTTAATTAAGGTAATTTCCGTATTGATGTTTTAATAATAATAAAATTAAATCTAATTTATGTTAATATTTTTATTGATATTATTAAATTAACACGATGTTTTATTTGTACTGTATCGTTAATCGCTCTCAAAAATGTGATTTATCTTCAGAAATAATTGTCTTTCTTTCACATATATTTTGTACATTTTCTTTGGAATTTTTGACTTTGGACTTTATTATGGAATATGGAATTTTATCATCAATAGTTTTTATCAAGAGCGATCGATTTTTGAAATGTATTGTCTAGTAAATTTATTTTTGGAACATTATCTAAATTTTTTATTTTAATAGATGAGATTGTTTTAATTGTTAACTGTTGCTCCATGACATTTTATTTGTTACAAGACGTTTTTAAAGCATTCTTTTTGACTAATTCCCATCTTAAATCCCACGTATTTTGATACCATGGATCATTCTTAATATCTTGAATATTAATGCGATCCTCCATCGGTTTCAATATCTTTTTGATTAAAGAGATACATGATTGCGATATTATACTTTTTGGCCTATGAGGAAATATTATTGGTTGTGCCATTTTGATAATCATAGAACACGCATTTTTTCCCTTAAAAGGTATTTTTCCCACAATCATAACATAGAGAATAATGCCCATACACCATATATCAGCTTCATCTGGATAGTAAGGTATTCTGCAAAGTATCTCTGGACACGCATAATTTAAAGTTCCACAAAACGTCGTGCTGAGATGCTTGTTATCTGAACTATTAGTATATTCATTTGATGTTATAATATGACAAGCCAATCCAAAATCGGAAATTTTTAGTACCTTATTTTTACAAATCAATAAATTTTGACATTTTAAATCCCTGTGTGCAATATTCTGAAAATAAAAAAATTATTTCTATATAAATTTTTAAATTCTGTTCGAGGTAAATTCAATACAAATATATAATATCATTTACTACAATATATTATTAAATACTTGGACATCACGAAATACAACGAATCTCTGAAATGTAATACAGTAACCTTAAGTTAAATCACTTTTTCAATTTGTAAATGGGTGGTTTTCTTTATGTTTTATTTTATAAACTTGGTCATGTATATTTTTACAAATTATGAAAGTAAATTTTTACCTTGTTGTGGCAATATTCAACTCCTTCAACTAGATGATGAAACCAACGACAAGCATTTTCTTCATCAATGTAATGATATTTTTTAATGTAAGTATATAAATCACAATCTTGGGCAAATTCCATAAAGATGTAAACTCTAAAAAGAAACTATTTAAGTTTAAATTTATTTCGTTATATTTATAGGAAAAGTCTGGCATTTGATGTGTGTGTGTATAAACAAACAACAAACACCAAAACATAAAAAAACAAACCAGATAAATCTTAATAGTGATTTTTTACATTTCATTTTAAAAACAAGGAGTTTAAGATATTAAATTATAAAACTTGAATACTTACGTTTTATTAGTTTCTATACATTTCAGGAATTTGATGATATTCTTATGATTTAGAAATTTAATAATTTTTATTTCATTTCTTAAAAATTGATCATTTGTATTTGAAAATTTTGTCTTCTTTACAATTTTCACAGCAATTTCACAGTTTTCTTTTGCATAAAAAGTTTTTCTAACTTCTGCAAAAGCTCCTTTGCCTAATAATTCTCCAGTTTTATAGCCATAAAATTCTTGTAATGAACACTTGAGTTTTGTATAATCTTCCGTTTTATTTTTAAAATTCAGTTGATTTTCAACTAAAGTTTTCATCCTAGCTTTAAACTAATATATTTTACGATTATTTAGAATTCTTTTTATGAAATTAATTATTTAAAATTCTCTAATTCTTATAATAACAGATAAGTAAAATTTCATTATTGAATAACAATATTAAATTACATTCAAAAGTTCTCTCTTCTAATAAGCACTATAAAAACCGTAATTCAGAAAATAAATTATTATTGAAAATTGTTCTGAAAGAATCGATTTAATCATACAGAATTGCTACTTTTAGTATAAAAATAATCGGATTATTAAACTTACCATATATAAGTTAATTTAATTCTCTTGGATCAAACATACTGTATTAAAATTAAGTTTAGATCATTAGTTACTCGAATTTTTTGCAATGTCAGCTAAAAAAACAATGTTTATTTTACATACTCGTTTTTTTTTATCGCCTTATCATTGATGACAATACATTTAGAATTCTCTACTACTGTATTGTAAATTTACTTCAATAAATGTTTATGAAGATGAATTATTAATTCTGCATTTAATAGTTAGAACAGGAGTAGTAATTATTTTGTAATTACTGTAATTCTATTACATTCTAATTGCTTTTTCTAACACTTTAACCTATCCTACACTCGGTTTAACATTTCTATGCATTTCAATAATTAAATTTATATAATTCTCTAAACACCCTTTTCTCCTGACTTAGAGTTCATGATAATCCCGAAGATATCCCATGTGAATAATGTATAATTGTTTTTTATTACCTTTTCTTGTCCATTATAAAAACTCCCGAAAATATTTCAAAATGAACACAAATCAAACCATGTTGTCTGAATAAACAAGTTACAGTACATGGAATTGTACTTAGAAACTATACAGATGTTAATGTTAACCTTTATTTTCACCAACGTAAATAAATGTAGATAATACAGGATTTTTAATCTCTAGAAATAAACGAGACAGAAGAAGAAGAAAATGAAAATAACGAAACAATAATATGGCCAAAAGAATTTCTAGAGGAATATACGAAGAGAAAACTTTGTTTAATTAATCAATACTCCAAATTTATCCTGGAAGGAAATGTTACGGTGAGTTTAAATATAAATTAAATTGATCTATAACAAGTTATGTTTTGTAGTTTTTACATATTCTTAAGTTTTGCTCAAGGCTTGTTATTCTCAATGAAATTCAATCAATAGATGCTTTATTAATGCTGAATGGATATGTTTTAGTATAATTTTTATTATTGGATGATATAAATTTTATTTGTTTTTGGTTTAATTTTCTTGATTTTTTTAGATTGACGGAAATAGTTCAATTAGAGATAATATCGCTGACAATAGCGGAGTGATTCAAGCTTATTGGGTAATTAAAGATTTCAGCAATTTTATGACTTTTACATTGAAAACTAAAGCTAACGCTTATGTTATTTAAAGAAATTTTAATAACTTTTCAGGCATATGATAATTATCTTAAAGAGCATGGATTAGAGCCCAATCTTCCAGGACTTGACTTTAGCAACAGGCAAATGTTCTTTATTGGATATGCACAGGTATTAAAAAAGTTTTCAAAACTATGTAGCAAATTTATAAAGTAAGATTAGTCGTATTTTCCCAATATGTTATGTACAGTTTGTTTTAAAAAGGTTCAGAAAATAGAACGATTTTCGGTACTGCTCCCATTGAATAATACGTTGCATGATGTATGTTTTTATTATTATATTCGTCTTATATATTGCTTTAATAATTTATTTCATTTAAAATATATGCTCTCCACCTCAAATTAGTACTGGTTTGCCCATGTACATCATACTTTTCCTTTAACAATAGAGTCGTGCTGATCATCTATTATCCACTTTCATTTGAATTAATTTAAATGATATAAAATAAATTATTTATAATTGGCAATTTATTTATAATCATACTAAAATGATGATAAGATTTTTTAATGTGAATTTCGTAAATTTACATTCATTTAAATGTTTAAAAATTACTTTTATTCAGACGAAGTGTGAGAGATTGGAATCTATGAAGGAATCTTACGATCATTCATCGCATAGTCCAGGAAGATATAGGTAATAAATGCTATATTGCTTAGTTTTTATTTACTTTTTATTCTGTTAAACAATACTTATTGTTAATAAAGAACAATTTAAAATTATATTTAAAAATTTTAGGGTACTTGTTCCTCTTATGAATTTTCCAGAATTCTCCAAAGTCTTCAATTGTCCACTGAATAGTTATATGAATCCAGAAGAGAAATGTAAATTATGGGGTTGGAAATAACAATTTTGAATGTAAAGCTAAACTTTAAGGAATATAATTTTAACAATTTCTTTAAAAAATTATACTCCGATTAATATCAGAACTAGATGCAACGCAAATTAATTCTATAAAATTTTATAAACAGATAATACAAATACCATTTAAAAAATGTAGTTTAAAGAATATTCTAATGTTATAATTAAAAATAAAAGATATAAAATAAAATTTTAAGTTTTTTTTTATTATAATTTGTTTGTATTTTTCATTACTTTTAGAATTTTTAGTTAACTTACAAATCTTATAAACTTACACGGTAGTTATATGCTTATAATGATGTTTTAACGCTAATTAACGAAAGAAGAAAAGTTCTATTAAACATGAAATCTCGGGATACTTAACATTTAAAAGTTATATTACGGTACGTTTAATAACGATAAGAACACACAAAATTTTAATTCATATACAGTAATTCATTATCTAGTTAAACATATTTAAAAATTATCTGTGGAACCATGTCATCTAACTATCGATATTTGTTATTGTACTGTGGCAACCAAAAATTGTTATCTACTTGTATAGCAAGGCATTGTTAATTCGGAAAGAGCAAATGGGTAAGGACAAGATAATTTCGGCGTTTGAAAAGGGTAAATAAGTGTTTAAAGTGAAGATAGTGAGCCAATAAGATCTATTGCTAAAAAGACACGAAAGATCGATTTGAGTGATCAGGAATTAATTGAAGTTAGGCGAAGAATATGGAATTAAGAAGAGTCCTGGAAGTGAACAATTCACGTAAGAAATGAAAAATTTTAAGAGAAATTACGAACGTAACACGCTCTTTCAGAAATATTGCTGTGAAACCCGAATATGGAGTAAGCTTGGGGACTGCTTGGAACAAAGTTCATGCCACCAATTATCTCAAATACGCCAAAAGAAATACGCAGAACTAAAGCTTACACACAAACATAAGGCTGCCAGTATGACTTGCGCCAGAAATCACATGATCCGGGAGGAACAGTAGAGGAATATCGCCTGGTCAAATCAGAAAAAGTTCAATTTAGATGGGCTTGATGGTTGTCAATACTATTGGAATTGTTTGTTATTTACATTGATATAAACAATAAATATTTAAATTGTTTATATTGCTAAATAGATTGAAAAATATATGAAAAAAATGTATTTTATTTAATTTCATTTACTTTTTTAACAATCAAATGTATTTTAAGTCAATTTTGACGTAAAACTTTTGAAGAAAAATTGTACACTTCTCAACAATTACAGCAAATTTTATTATAAATTATCTTCATCTCGAACTTAAATGACTGAACTTATTTGTTTCATTTTTATCTTCGCCCTATGGGCACTAAAGGTTGTTTCATAATCTTACTTTACGACACGGAAAACAGGCGGATACGGTTTCTCATCGCAATCGCAAATTTACCGCTTAAGCCAGCCGTTTCACAATAGTGAAAACTTGCGTGGATCAGTTTCCACAACCAGTTTACCAGTGGATTTTCTACTTAAAGTCGTGCTTAAAATCTTGCGGATCCGCAAACATTTCAGCCAACGGAGAGCAGTAAAGTCGTGAAACATTTTGGTAAGATAGCTTCCAATAATAAACTTAGTTTTACTATCGATTTCAACCAATAGGAATACTCTTAAAGAATGTAGTTAATTGTGAAACAGAAGCAGATTCCACTTTCTCGACGATGTGAAACAGGCTTAAGACCTTTTTACCATGTTCATATTCAGTCAATAGGGCCACCGGGTAATGAGGGATTCACCCAACATCCAGGACAGACTATTGAGATGAAAAAGTACTTACCGCGAAGCATGAAAGGTATTTATTGCGAAGCATGAAAGTTGTACACGTGTGACTGATCTGGCAGCCATGTTTATGAAGTTTATGAAGCCAAAATCGAACGCGTGCAAGTAGTAAATACAATTTTCATTTTATTTTACAGTGTTTATGTATTTTATTTATTCTTTTCGTGTTTAAATTTATTATTAGGGTATTTAATTTTGTTATTTTTTCCTTAAATTATTTGTATATGCTGTTTTAAGGTTTTCATACACGGCCCTCAATAATATTTTCAATGGAACCAGGCCTCACAAAGTTGAACGATAGAAACTGTAAGAAATATAGATTGATAAAGGTAGTAAAATAAGTAAATAAAAGAAATAAATTTGAGTTTTGTTTAAAGACTGAGCTGCTTTTCTTCCGGAGAGCGTTTGTCAGACAATTTAAAAAAATCTCGTAAACTAATAATTTAAATTCCTACCTTATGTGCATTCCTAATTAGTATAGAAATGGAAGACACCACAGAATATAAATAAAGTAATGAATTTTAATTAGGAAAAGATTTTTGAAAAATTTTTACTGTTTGTTTTCCTTTTTCTTTGGAGGGAGTCATGGCTCCTTGGGCCTTCTGGGTGCGCTACTGCCTTACACATACTAATGGGAAAAACAGAAATTATCAATATTTCTTTTGTAAGAATAACGAGCACTATACATGGATAAGCTGAAAATTTAAGGGATTAGAAATTTTCCTCAAAAACAGTCCAAGCAAGCACTTTTAAAATTAAATGAATTTGTATAGAAAAGATGAGTGATGCCGAGGCACCTGCATTTTCTTTGGATGCATGTTGTACTATATGTACACAATGTACTGTACTGTACATACAGTACAATACAGTACATCCAAAGAAAATTCAGTTACAAATACAAACACGTAAGCATTACGAACAGTTTTACATACATATTATAGTTTTTATTTGTATTTATCAAATAAATGTGACAGTTTTTCTCCTCAATGCATAATGTACTGTACATTAAAACTTACAAATGCCATATTGGATCATCAAATAAAATATTAGCGAAATAGTCTATAAATTCCTTAATAAAAGCAATTAATGTAAATTTTATATAATACCCGCAGTAGAAGTTTAGATCTTTTATGGAACCATTGTTATATCATTGGAGGTAGAGTGGGATTAGCTTAATTGGAAATACCCAACTTCCAATTAAGCCAAATCTCCTCCCAGACCTTTGCATCTAGATAAAACAATGGTCTTAATAACAAATATATTTATGCAAAAGTTTCCAGATGTAAAATAAATGTTGTATAAAAACTGTTCTAGGCCAAAATCACAAAAACTCTGTACACGAAAAAATGAAGTTTATATATCATAATAGTTTCTGATTTTTGTCGAGCAAATACCAAAATTATTTGTTCCGATACCAGTTATATAAGTAATATTTATTGTTGTTTTACAAAGCTGCATTTTATTATTATTTATCGACTGTATTTTCCAAAAATAGCGAAATTTTACNACAGCTCCGATAAGATCCCAACCATTTCATTCAGAGCTACTCATACCAGTGACTTTAATGATGATCATTCCACATACGGTTTACATTTACTTATTTCTTTAATCTTGTAAATTACAGATACAGTATTGTGAAATATGAAAATAAAAACTGCGAAAATAAAAACTCGTCTTTAATATTTTCATTCATCTTCTTGTTGTATCTTCTTTAATATTGTGGAAATATGCTAAAAATTTTCAAAAATTATAAATTAAGCAGTTTGATATGATGTGGTATCTGTACAGTCCCACATCTGCAATTGGAAACTTGCATATACATTAATTCCATTTATTTAGAGAAATACTTCAAGAAGCCTTGGCTAGTTCACTGTCCATATTCTTCTAAGTTAAATCCTGTATGTCTTTATGCATAATCAATAGAGATTCATGCTAGTCTCACCAGTTGTCAAGCAGATAAACTCATAGATCACTGGTCGCGGATTAGCCCCCGACCGAGGGTGGGCCACGTGAAGTTTTCCGGTTTTCTTCACGTGTTTAACACCTAAATAAGGGCTACTTTCCCATAGAATGTCCTCGTGTGAGGCACTTTTTCTTGGAGGATCGCCCTATGTTGCGTTTCTTTGTTCCTCCAATTCAATCCACGATTCATATTAGGGAAATCGTAAGAACTCCGGTTGATTTTTCATGATTGTTCATCATGTTATTTATTCATTTTGCACGCGTTTAATGCTGTTTATATGAGTTTCCTTGATTGTTTTCCTATCGTCATATATAGTAATAATTATTATTATTATCGATAATAAATACGCAATTTAATTGATTTTACGAATAATCACCAATGAGAGTAAATTCATTTGGTGCCCGCGAAGCTAATATCGAATGGCGGACAGCTGGAGATTATAATACAAAGTGAGAGAGCGAGAGAGAGAAGTCAGTAAATGGTAGGATGACGCGATGTATTCTCGTGTTAATTAAAACTATAAATAAGTTTAAATTTCGAAATTTATTTATTTCTATTGTTTAATTGACAGTTATATATTTTAATTAATGTAGGTGTATAATTTACCGAAATTAACGAATATAAAAATAAAACTTAGATAAGAAAATTAATGAAAAGAATAATTATATTCTACATCAAACAAATATGAAAACATGAAAAGAAATTTGAAGTAAATTCTGTAATTTTTTTAAGCAGGTGAACATCTCGATGTTGACAGTATTTTAACATTTAATTTTAATTTATAATCCATTCTAGGACTAAAAAGAAAAACAAAATAAAGCATTTAATTCTTTTAAGAAACTTGTCAATAGTTGATAAGCAATGATAACACATTGGAGTTAGTTTGTATGCTGATTATTATAAATAGAAACTTTTTTACGAATATATTTGAGTAAAAATGGAATTTTTCTTAATATAAATGATGAAATTTTCAAAATATTTGATTCATTTCTATTTAATTTTCAAACTTTCAAAATATCATACAAGTTTATACTCTCGTATGGTTTAACATTCTACAGTCTTTTACACTTTTAATTTTCATAAAGACTTATAGAAGAAATTAAGTTTTTGACACTGCATTCAGCATTGATTATCTTTGCAAAATGTCAAGAACTAATACTAAAACATTAGAATGAAGTAGAAAAAAAATATGAATTTCAAAATAACTTTTTAAGAGCAAATTACATGTTTTCAAGAAAAACAAATAAGAATTTTTTCGTTTGTTCTAAATCTCTACATTAAGATTCTACCTGGATTAAAATTTAAATCTTATTTTACATTAATAATTTATTTTTTTTACATCTAATATCATTAATGCTTAAATTTAAATGTTCTCTTCGAATTCTCTTTTTG